TGAACCGCCTTCATGTCCTCAGCTGCTCGATCCATCTTGGCCCGCATCTCGGCCATCTCGGCCTTCTGGGCTCGCAGGATCTCGTCACGTCAATCGTCAAGCTGCTGAATCCAGTAGAGGTCTGCATCGCTGATGTTGTCGCGCTCGATCTCCTTGTCAACTTGGCTTGTCCTGACTCGGTTTGCTTCGGTGTCTCCAGTTTCCACGCGTCTCACTGGGTTGACGTCGACCGCCCTGCGTCTAGCTAGGTCTGCCTCGGTTGCCACGTCCTCGTCGAGATCGATGACTTGTGCTACTGCGTCTTCATGCCTGCTTCGACTTGTCTCTCCAGTCTCTGAGGTGCAGTGTAGTGGTAGAAAGGTCTGAATCCTGTGCGCATTGTCCGGTGTTAAGAAGAGAGCTGTCGGGTTCAGTCGCCCTCCTAGTTGACTTAGCATGCTTTGATCTCGGCCGCCGCTTCGAACTCGGCTCGCCGTGGTAGGGACGTCAAGCTGCTCGGCCACTATGGAGTTTAGTTTATCCTGCTCTTTCGACTTCTTGAGCAGCGTATCCATCGCTGCCTTGATCTGGTTCAGGACCTCGAGTGCTGGCGTCGCGCCTGTCGCATTGGTGTTGTGCACGGCGCCTCCAACAAGATTGGTTACAGCGTCTTTGTCGCCGGTGTTGTCATTCCGTATGACGTCTCCAGAGATATTTGTTTTGGCGTTGTCATCGCCGGTGTTGTCAGTCCGCACGATGTTTCTCGTGAGAGTTGTCGCTACGTCCTTGTCGCCAGGTGTGTCGCCGCGCTAATCAGTCATCGTGCTTAGGTTGCTTGCCGAGTGATTCCTTCGAGTAAGAAGATCTCAAGTCCCCTTAGACGGCGCCAAACTGTGGACGGCAGATCCTACACAGTTGAATTTGTCAAGGGTTGAAATGAGAACTGAGTCTTCTGAGTATGAATCACAAAGCAAAAGTCGAAAATATGTTTTTATTGCTGTTGTTGCTTAAGCTCTTGTTACAAAAAATGAATCTATCCCCTTTTGGGAGATGATAATGAACTATATAGAGTAATTCTAAGTAAAATGGGCCAGCTAATAAATAGACCTGGCCTATTAAGCAATATATTAAAATTAGACCCATTAATCCATTAAGCCCATTTTGTTAATGGGTTTAATGTCATTTTGGGCGTATATTCAGACTGGGCCTTTGTAGACTTGTTCCGATTATATCAGGATGTTGCAAAGTTGATCTCGTCGCTATATCGATCTCATGGGGTGAAATCCGACCTCACATGGATCATTATACTTTCTTTTGTGTTGATTAAACATTGTTAATGCTTGACAAGAAACATTTTGTTACTATTATATATGGAGTTAGTGCAAATCGAAGGACTTTTACGATTTTCATTTGTTGAATCATCCAAAAACAAAATATAATTATTTAATTATAGATTGCGGGGGGTCATGAAATTATTTAATTACAAATGTATAATTTTTGTTATAATCGCCGAGCGACCAGTACAAGATAATTAAGAAGAAAACTTCGGTATAGCTATCTATGCCTTTAAATCATTGAATAATTCTTGAATTTGTAAAATTTTTCTAGTGAAAAATAAATGGAGCATTGAAATATTAGCAGCATCTAATATAATATTTTAAGATTTCTTCTAAGTGAAATTTAAAGAGGTTGCACGTGTCACTTGTGATGTTAACAATTTTTCATTTTTAGTACCTTATTTTTACTTAAGTTTACATTTGTCTCTCTAAATTTTAGGATTTTTGCATTCATTCTTTAAAATAAAAATGTGATATCAATATATTTACTTAAAATAAACACTTAACTAGGATTTCACCCGCACTATGTGCGGGAATATTCGTGTATATGTTGTAAACTATATTAGGCTTTCGTATTATGTCGTATATAATATGTTC